CCACATATACTGGAGGTGGCGGGTTCAAACCCAGCCTGGGCCAAAAACTGCAAATATTGAAGGTCAGTTTACAGGAGCTTCAAACACGCTTCTAAAAATACTCTAAGCTAGTTATACATAAGGGAAAGTCCTGCGAAAGGGGTTTAAGAAATTTGATAAGGCAACTCCATGAGAAGGACATATCACAATTCAATCTATCACTCATCAGATAAATAGCGTAACATTAAATGTTTGCCTCTTTTATTTTTAGTTGGCATGTAACGAATGCACATATTTGCAGGATACAAAATGATATTTTGATATTTGTATACAATGTAGAATGATCAAATAAGGGCAATTACTGTGGGACCAGCATATCTGTCACTACAAGCATTTATCATTTCTTCGTGATATGAACATTCAAAACTCTCTCTTCTGGCTTTTTTGAAAATGCACAATGAATTCTAGTTAACTATATTCAGTCCACAGGACCCAGAACATAAGAACTCATTTCTTCTACCTAGCTGTGATTTCATATCCATCAACCAAAAAGACCCTCCCTATGGCCACTTTCCAGAGTAAGATTTACAAGTCTATTCTCTACTATTGTAGGCTTACAATATTTTTTTAGCCCGCCTCTGTGAGTGAGAATGTGTATTTATCTTTCTGGGCCTGACTTATTTCACATAACAAAACATCCTCCAGGTTCATCGCGTTGTTGTATAAGGCAGGACCTCATTCTTCCTTAGGTCTGAATAGTATTTCGTCTGAATAGTATTTCATGTACCTTTTCTTTATTCATATGTTTATGGACACTTAGATCGATTCCATTTCTTGGCTATTCTGAGTATTGCTGAAAGAAACACAGGGGTGCAGGTATCTCTTTGATATACTGATTTCCTTTCCCTTGAATAAATAACCAGTGGGGGGCCAGCTGGACCCCATGGTGGTTCCATTTCCTTCTTTTTTTTTTTTTTTTGAGACTTCAATAATGGCTTTGCTAATTTACATTACTACCAATAGCATGTAAGAGTTCCCTTTCCTCAGCATCTGTTATTGTTATTATTACCATGATTATCATTATTTTGGTCTTTTTGATAGTAGCCTTTCTAACGAGGGCGAGAAGATATCTCATTGTGGTTTTGATTTGCATTTCCTTGCCCAGATGACTGGTGATGCGGAGCATTTTTTCATGTTTGTTGGCCACTGGTATGTCTTCTTTTAATCAGATTATTTTTCTTCTTCTTTTTTTTTTCTGCTGTTGAGTTGTTCAAGTTCCTTGTATACTGTACATATTAGCACATTGTCAGATGAATAGTAATTGAATACCAAATATTTTCTCCTATCTACAGGTTGTCTCTCCCCTGTGTTGATTGTTTCCTTGGCTATGCAAAGGTTTTTGCATCTTCCCATCTGTCTACTTTTTGTTTTGTTGCCTATGCTTTTAAAGTCTTAGCCACGAAATCTTTGCCTCAACCAGTGATTTTCAACAGTGTGCCACAGTGCACTGGTGTGCTGTGAGACGATCTTAGGTGTGCCAGGAAAATTTTTAAGGATTAGCTAAATTATTCTCGAAAGACATTCAAAGCACAGTAAGTATATTCTTTTCTTTTTTTTTAATCAACATAATTTAAGTGTGTCACAGGGGTTTAACTATAGGTTCAAGTGTGCCGAGAGATTTAAAAAAGGTTGGAGACCAAAATCCTGAAGTGTTTCCCCTATCAAATAGTGCTAACATTTGATAACTCAAAAAATTTTCTGGCTCGGCACCTGTGGCTCAAGTGGTTAAGGCACCAGCCACGTACACCCAAGGTGGCGGGTTCAAATCCAGCCCAGCCCGCCAAACAACAATGATGGCTGCAACCAAAAAATAGCCGGGCGTTGTGACAGGTGCTTGTGGTCCCAGCTACTCGGGAGGCTGAGGCCGGAGACTCGCTTGAACCCAAGAGCTGGAGGTTGCTGTGAGCTGTGATGCCATAGCACTCTACCCAGGGGGACAGCTTGAGGCTCTGTCTCAAAAAAAAAATTTTTTTTTCTAGTAGATGATAATACTGAATGCAACTAACTCCCTTGAATTCAACATACAAACACTTGCTTTCTTATCTATACTAAGCAAAATTCCTGAAGAGAAAAAGAATTTTAGAGCTGTTATTTCCCTTTTTGGATGTCTGTCCTGTTCTGAGAAATTTACTTTTTTTTGAGACAGAGCCTCAAACTGTCCCCCTGGGTAGAGTGCTGTGGCATTACAGCTCACAGCAACCTCCAACTCCTGGGCTCAAGCGAGTCTCCTGCCTCCGCCTCCCAAGTAGCTGGGACCACAGGCGCCCGCCACAACGCCCGGCTATTTTTTGGTTGCAGCCGTCATTGTTGTTTGGTGGGTCCGGGCTGGGGATTCGAACCCGCCACCTTAGGTGTACGTGGCTGGCACCTTAGCCAGTTGAGCTATAGGCGCTGAGCCAGAAATTTACTTTTTAAAATTTACTTTTTAAGTAAATATGCATACATAGGTGTGTGTGCCTGTTTACAGTTGAGAAATGAGAAATAGAGATTCTGTATTGGCCCAGGGTTAGGAAACCACCCCTACCACCATCTTGTGGGCATGAGAGGTAACTGCCATGCTAAAGTATAGAAGCTGGATTAATCCTTCATGATGGATTAGATTGATTGCAGTGGATTTTTTTGCTTATGTTTTAACCAGAATCTTTTATAAAGTGCCACAAAGTAAATAAATGTGTGTCCAAAATGTCTCCTCTATTCTCAACAATAAAAAAGCCGAATATCATAGTATATTCTGGAAATTTTAAATGTCTGGGAAAAATAAATCAGTCTGCTTTGAATAAATAAATTCAAGAGTTAGCTGAGGAATATTTGAAAAGAATAGCAAGAGTGAAAGTTTGACCTCAGGAATCCTAAAATATTTCATTGCTTTACCATTGAAGAGTATAGCATCGGTGTAATGATTTAAGTTTTTCCTTCTAAGTTTATTTCCCTTTCTATCAGATTCCTACTCCTTCCCATCCCCCCTAAAGTGTCCCAAGGGAAACAATAAATATTAAATTACAATAACAAATTCAAAACACAGAAAGAAGAAAGATGATATAGTTGAGAACTGAAGAACTTAGTGATTCTCTGAATTTTTCTACCATCAATTTTGCTGGAAAGCAGAAAGCACATCATAGATAAAATAGCCTATTTTTATTTTTTGCAATTTTAACAATTTTTTAATTAAATCTTTCATACATGGATCATAAATACATTTATGCCATTATAGGATTCAATGTGTTGATTATTTGTACAAATTGGAGTGCTTACATCCTACTAAGCAACATAGCCTTCACTACTTTTACCCAATTACAGGATTAAGACATTTGTGTTCTACACCTGATAGATCCAACTTGTACTTGCAATATGCTCCATAGGTGTGGTTCCCTACCAACCCTCCCTCTATCAACCCAAAGAGCCTATCTTTAAAATGATGACTGACACTCAGCATAGTTTAGTCGGTGGTCCTCTACGCAACACTCCTGGCTAAGAGCAAACATCAGAAGAGAACTTGGAAAGGTACCTCCTTCCTACCCAGAGAGGCTGAAAGTAAAATGTGTAAGGACCTGTTCTCACTTCGTCACACCAAACGACAGTAATGCATTTAATGTGTCCTGGACGCTCATGACCACCTCATAGCAGCGATTTTCTGAACCACTGAGGCATCTGCAATAACCTAACTGTCACAGTGTGCAACCAGCCTGCCAGTATTTTACAAGAATTTTACAAGACAATCTGTATATATTTGATAGATAACAAAACTGTTGTTATTGCTATTTAAATCAGACTTCCATGCCATTAACACACATATTAGGAAAATGCTAGCATCTATAAAGAGCACTCTAATCTACAATATATATACTATGTATGTGTGTGTGTATACGTATGTTTTTTTAACACATATTCCATGGAAATGGAGTCTGCTCTTGTCAACATCTTACCCTGGTAGTAGAAAGAATTAGATGGGAAGGATATTTGGTTTTTCCTTAAATCAAGTATAATAATAACATTAAAGAATGTAATTCAGTGAATTAATATATGTTTGCAATTTTCTGTTCTTTTGGTTTCTCCTAACGCATTACTAAAAGGATTTAGGAATCGTTTTATGTTACTGTTACAATGTTTTAAAAATATTTTTCAAAACTCCCCTAGATAACACCAGTTTATTTTTGTGCCTCAAGGACTTTAAACTCTTAGATGAAACTGAGAATATGGTAAAGCACTTGACCTATTTGGTGAAGGTACTCACCACAATATCAGGGTCGCAAATACTAGGATACCAGAGTTAGCTCATAGATCCTTGTGAAAGCAATAAACTTAAATGATAAAATACCAATAGCTTTTTGCTCTGGACTTTCACAATAAAATGTTATGATGGTTACATACAATCAGCTGCAAAGCAGTTCTGCTTTGGTGGTGGCTCACACCTGTAATCCCAGCTTTCTGGGAGGCCTAGGTCAGTGGATTGCTTGAGCTCAGGAGCTTAAGACCACCCTGAGCAATAATGAGACCCCCCCATATCTACTAAAAATAGAAAAACTAGCTTGGTGTTGGTGGTGGGCACCTATAGTCCTAGCCACTGTGGGGGCTGAGGCAAGAGGATCGCTGGAGCCCGAATTTGAGGTTGCTGTGAGCTATGATGCCAGGGCACTCCACCCAGGGCCACAAAGTGAGACTCTGTCTCAAAAAAAGAAAAGGGTTCTTCAATTCCAAAAGGAATGAATCAACTACTAACATGAAAGTATCCTGAGAGTTAAACTCTCACAGTGCAGTGAACGGCAGTGCACTCTGTGAAAACTCACTTGGTCATCACATTAGGACCATGAATTGAAGCCCCCACGGAACATACTTACTCAGCCATCGTTGTACAGTCTTACTTCCCCCAGTTACTTACTTTCCCAGTTCTGATGAAATAAAGAAGCTGATTAAAAGAATGGCACAGAAAAATCTTCTGAAATACCTAAAGACACAATCTATACCTGAAGGTAAGCTGATACGATGTCCGTCTTTGAGCTTTAAACGGCTTCTCTTAAACTTGCCCTTCCTCTTCTTCACCTTGGGCTTCTCCTGGTTCAACTGGAATATCAGAATGTTCAGCTCCCGCTCCAGGACGTCGATCTCCCGCTCAGCCAGCTGCTGCTCGCGCCGCTTCAGCAGCTCCTCCTGGGACTTCTGCTGCAGCGCCGCTCGGGTCAGCTCCTCTTCCCGGGACCGCAGCTCCTGTGCCAGGGTGCACACCCGAGAGTCACTGAGCAGGGAAATGGTAGCTACACGTCCATTTGTTTATGAAATACAACACTGACCATTTCTATATGTGGCGGTCAACTCACAGACATTCCATTGTATTCATTACAAAATTTTACCAAGAGGTGGCCAACATGTACCAAATATTTTATAAATAATGGTACATTTGGCTCGGCGCCTGTGGCTCAAGCGGCTAAGGCGCCAGCCACATACACCTAAGGTGGCGGGTTCGAATCCCCAGTCCGGTCCGCCAAACAACAATGATGGCTGCAACCAAAAAATAGCTGGGCAGTGTAGCAGGTGCCTGTAGTCCCAGCTACTTGGGAGGCTGAGGCAGGAGACTCGCTTGAGCCCAGGAGTTGGAGGTTCCTGTGAGCTGTGATGCCACAGCACTCTACCCAGGGGGACAGCTTGAGGCTCTGTCTCAAAAAAAAATAATGGTACATTTAACCACAGTTTCCCATTTTCCCCTGTGTATGGTGACTTGGGAGAACCCGTTCACTGCAAAAGATTGCAGTTCAGTCTTCTTTAATGAGACATGTCCTTAGGGTCTGCTCACAGAATGACATCTTGGTGGCAAGATGAAGTGACAGATGAACAGAGCTAATGTGTTACGGATCCACTGAAGGCTGGTTGGAAATGAAAATAAGACACTTCCAAACTCATAAGCCAAAGGGAGATACACTCAGTATATTAAGAACTTTTCAAGATTCCCCGTGTATGAAAGTATCACTTTATAACAGATCTCATGAGGCAGCTAATATCAGTTTCTCTGTCGTGATGCTTACTGATAAAAGTTTAACTTCTTTTTGGTTTGGGGTTTTAAATTATTGAACTTCTGAGAAATAGAAAAGTTACCAATTTAAAATACTTTCACTCCTATTAGGAAAAAAAATTATTCAACAGTAAATTCAACAGTAAAACTGAGAACTCTACAAAGTTGTAAAACCTTATCCCTGTTTTTATTTCATTTCTACAAGTGTTCTATTCTTTTTTTTTTTTTGCAGTTTTTGGCCGGGGCTGGGTTTGAACCTGGCACCTCTGGCATAGGGGGCCAGCACCCTACTCCCTTGAGCCACAGGCACCGCCCAAGTGGTCTATTCTTTATCAGAGACACAAATGTTCCTTCTACTGCTGAACTACTTTCTATTCAAAATTACCCTGTCATGGCTCAGCACCTGTGGCTCAAGAGGCTAAGGTGCCAGCCACATACACCTGAGCTGGTGGGTTCGAATCCAGCCTGGGCCCACCAAACAACAACGACGCCTGCAACCAAAATAAAATAGCCGGGCCTTGTGGTGGGTCCCTGTAGTCCTAGCTACTTGGGAAGCAGAGGCAGGAGAATCATTTGAGCCCAGGAGTTGGAGGTTGCTGTGAGCTGTGACACCAAGGCACTCTACACAGGGTGACAGGTTGAGGCTCTGTCTCAAAAAAAAAAAATTACCCTGCTATGAGATGGAGCTCTCACATATAAATCAAGGCATTTGCAAGTTTTTTAATGCTGCTCCAAACAACTTGTTCGTAGAACACTCTAATCATTAGTAATGCTACAATCTTTGTTAGAAACTGTCGATGCCTTGTCAAGTAGAGCTTTGGGCCTTGAGTTGTGAGAAGTATTGGGCAAAAATTTTCTATGTTATGTAAGCAGAACACACATTAAATAAAGAAATAGTGTAAGATAAAGGCTTCTGGAAGAAGCTAGAGCCAAGTCATGGGACTAGAATGCCAATTCAAATCTCCTAACCCCTAGATTTTTTTACAGATGCACTCAAAAAGTAATTAGAGCCTATGTATCAGCACAGTTACCACCAAGGCAAATAAACATCTTCCCACAAATTAATAGGAGAATATCAAGAAGGGGCTGGGTGTGGCTTGGTGCTCGTTGTTTGTTGCTCAGTGGTTAGGGCGCCAGCCACATATACCAGGGCTGGCTGGTTCAAACCCAGCCCAGGCCGGCTAAAACAACAATGACAACTACAACAACAACAACAACAAAAATAGCCGGGTGTTGTGGTGGGCACTTGTAGTCTCAGTTACTTGGGAGGCTGAGGCAAGAGAATAGCTTAAGCCCAAGACTTGGAGGTTGCTGTGAGCTGTGATGCCACAGCACTCTACCCAGGGCAACACAGTGAGACTCTGTCTCAAAAAAAAAAAAAAAAAAAAAGAGACTAGGCGATTCTAACAATAAAGAAATTTATCTACTCAGATCAAACTAATTCTGAATTTATGGTAATTCTACCAAAGTGGACTGAAATTTAGTTTCAAAACTTTCTTTAAATTTATTTTTTCTGAACAAATTGCATTGGCAAAACTACATGAGAAATGATTTACTTTGGACCAACTGATATTCAAATTACTTCGGCTAATGTGAATCAGTTGACTTTTACAGAGCAGATTGATCATTTCTTCATTACACTGTAATACTGCGTATTACTTGAAAAAAAGAAAAGAGAAAGTATTACATGTTAAAAACTCTGTACTCCATTTTTTAACTAGTACCTTTTGTCCTAACTGGACATTTTACTGTGGTTTATTTGGGGACAAAGGATAATTTCCAGTCAACTTCTAATTTCTAATTCATCACTTTTCATCTGTGGTTAAGGTCTTCTTTTCAGGGGTGGTGATATTAATCCAACTAGCTATTGTCAAATGAGATGGCATGAGAATGAGATAAGAACGTTCAATTAGGCTGTGGGTTACTACTACAGTAACTGAAAAAAATCAAAAAAGTTTTAATTCCAGGTCCCAACCTATTAATAAAATGCCCTTGCAACAACTTTATAAATTAAAAAAAAAAAAAACTTGTCTAAGACTTTATAAGGGAAAAAACTAAGATCAAAGAAAAAGCAGAAAAAGTAACTTTCCTTCTGAATAAATCTCAAAACATTCAAAAGTAAATTTTAAAAAAGGTCTGGGTAACTTAGAAGAACCCTTTTGAATACTTTGAAATTATGAAGCACACAGAAAGGATTCTTTTGGCTGATGACATTGCTAGCAGTAATATTTATTTAATCGCTTGGCACAAGTCACTCTGGTAATGGCCAATCCAGATTCCTGTTAATCATTAACCATGACATGCCTTCCCAGAGTGGCCAAAGACAGGTGCAGGCACACAGCACACAAAGACAGACACCCAGAGATAAGAAGCCAGGAATTTAGGGAGGACCTGGTATCTATGGAGGCTGCCCTTTACTGAGTAACACGGACCACAGCCAAGTTACCGACCATTAATTCCAAGTCTGACGTCTCCTCCTTTAAGCAATCAGTGAACAAGAAAGGGAGATACAGCACGGACACTGTGCTTTCTCCTCCATCAAAAAAGATGTAATTAGAAACCCGTAAGAAAAAAAAAAAAGTACCATATTTTCTTTAATTGTAAATCAAATGGCTCACAAAATACCAGAAATGCTGAACCACGAGGAGTAACACGCAGCAGAAGAGCTGAAACAAACCAAAGAAACTGCTGTAACCTCAACACTGAGAAGACTCACGTCCACTTTTTTTTTTTTTTTTTTTTTTTTTTGCAGTTTTCGGCCGGGGCTGGGTTTGAACCCGCCACCTTTGGTATATGGGGCCAGTGTCCTACTCCTTCAAGCCGTAGGCGCTGCCCCTCATATCCACTCTCGATGCATGCTTTTATTTTTACGCCACATGTAATAAGAACTCGCTGGAAAGGCCTACACCCTCTGGTTTCAGAAATCATTATTGATTAAAAATAAATAAAACAGGCTAAAATAATAGTGATCGTTAATTACATCACTTCCAAAGTTTACATTCTGTAATTCAATGCTTTGTTTTTTTCTCAAAGTCTTCTCCTGCTCTTCAAAATCTTTTTCTTTCTTTTATTTTTTTATTTTTTTTATTTTTTGTAGAGACAGAGTCTCACTTTATCACCCTCAGTAGAGTACTGTGGTGTCACACAGCTCACAGCAACCTCCAACTCCTGGGCTTAAGTGATTCTCTTGCCCCTCAGTCTCAGCCCCTGAGTAGCTGGGACTACAGGTACCCACCACAATGTCCAGCTATTTTTTGGTTGCAGTTTGGCTGGGGCCAGGTTTGAACCTGCCACCCTTGGTATATGGGGCCGGCGACCTTCTCACTGAGCCACAGGCGCCGCCCTCAAAATCTTTTTCATGTTTGTAATTAAATGTCTAAGTTTAGAGTTCCTGGAAACATTTTGGAGACATATAAAAATTTAAAAAAAAATCAGAGTCCCTATCATTTTAAGTCAACAAAACGTATTAAAGCTGCCAAGAAACCCAGCAAAGATAATCATTGATAGTCATTGATAGTAACCCTTCATAGAACTACAGGACTGCAAGCATAATCCAGCCAGGGATTTTTCCAGCATTAATTCTTGGAGCCTGGTTTCCCCTACCCCTGCATCAGGGAATGGCGGGAGGTCTGAGCCAGCCCAGCGTCTGCCAAAGTCACCACTTTGTTTCTTCCGGGGCTTCCACTGACTGAGCACTTACTAAGTGTGAGGCCTGGCTCTGAGCGCTCTGCACACATGGCTCCAGCCTCACACCACCCCAAGGCAGATGGCTATACACGTGGCCATTCTGATGATGAAGTAAGTATATCACATAGTGAAACCTGAGGCCACATGGCCAGCAAGGCAGAGTCCCAAGGCCAAGCAGGCTGTCTGGCTCTGGTTTTAAGCACTATACTACACTGCTATAGATTTTGGCATTCGGAAAATACTTCATATAAGGAAAAGTGGGTTACAAGTGGGATCTATCACACTGTTCAGAATCCCATACAGACTTTCCACTTGAGTTCCTCCAGGGAAGGAGGGTGACAGCTGATGAAGTAGTGCATTTCATCACCAGACGGCTCACAGGGCCAGAAGAGACCAGATTTCAAACCCTGGAGCATTCACCCAGAGAGGCTGCTTCCAAAGTTACCCCTTCCCTTCCCCAGCTACCTGAAAGTCCTCTTGGGACTCAAGAACAGCCCTGGCCCTCCCCGTGTGC